GATCTGAAATCTGTTTTGCCTGCTTTTAGTAGAGCCATTCCAACTTTCTTTTGAGAAGTGTTACTTTTAATCTATTTGTGCTGCTACCTGTTAAATAAGTTTCTTATTGGCAGTGTTCAGACCATTTATGTCTATTGTGATTACTGATACACAGTGGATCTATCTTCTTGCTATTTTTTTTAAAAACAGCTCAAATACAGAGCTATACTTTTATCTCTATTAGATTATATCAATTAAGGTTATATATACTCTCCAACCTCTGCCCCCACCTCCAGCTAATTGACCCTTCTTTGATACCAGATCCAATCATCCACAGAATTTTCTATTCTCCTCAATCAGAAGCTGCTAATTAAAGCCTTTAATTCTCTTGCATAAGCTAACCACAGTAGAAGCTTAGAGTTGAGGACTGTATCTTGCAGCAGACCAAACTCTATATTCAACCATCAGATCCATGAGGCACCATTATTCATCTCATCATGAAAATGTCCTCTGATAATCCTAAATAGTAATACATGATGACACTAGGACTACCAGGATAGACTTCTTGAGAAAAATCACTTATCTCATTCCTTCTGTGTGTGGCAGCACTAAAAAAGGAATATGATACTTGGTCACCACCACAGAACCCAGAGAAGATGCTTGGTTATGGTATTCTCTCGTTAGTCACAAACTCAACATAGGAGTTGTTACAACACTTTTGACAATATGGTTTTACCTCATTCAGCAATCATTAAGCATTTAGAAGAGAACAAAGTGACAGTTCATGTTAACTCTTTCTATTCTATTACAATAAATCTAAGCACTTGGAAGGCTTGTGATTCAATGCAAGAAGAAAATGTTACTACCATATACTATGAAGGAAAACAGAGTAAGTGGGAAAAAGAATACAAAAGGGTAAGCTGCACTGTAAATAGGAGTTGGGGGAAAGGCAGCACCTAAGCAGTCTTGAAAAAGGGTGTAAGCCAAAGAGAGAGCTGAAAAAGAACATTCTAGGTGAAGAGAACAGCCAAATGCAGAGTCCTAAAGGCAGGAGTGTGACTAAAGCCTGGGAAGAAAGAAGGCCAATGTGGGAAAAAGAAAAGAGATCACTAAGATCATGGACCTGATTATCTAAGGCAGGGATCAGCCTTTATTTTTCTGTAAATGGACATGTAGTAAGTATTTAAGCTTTGCAAGACACATAAGGTTTCTATTTCATGTATTTCTTTGTTTTTTAAAAATGCTTTAAAAATGTAAAAACCATCCTCAGGAGCCTTACAAAAATAGGCCTAGGCAAGATTTGGCTGCAGCATGTACTTTAGACCCACGTAAAGATTTTGACTATTTAAGGGAAATATTATTTGAGTCACATTTTGGAAGAAATGTAGGGGGATGAGGGTGCTCAGTGAGAAGGACAATGCAGTAATCCAAAGCAGAAATAATGATGGCTAAGACCATGGTGGAACAAGGAAAACAAGAAGTACTTAGAATCTAGATAAAAAAAAATTTTTTTTTTTTAAATAAAGTGAATGGATTTGGGAGTGAGAAAGGAACATGAATGGATTTTTGGTCTGCAAAACACATGACTGTGGATGGAATAGGTTTTTAAAGTAAAGTATGTTTTGATTTAAAGTAGAGAAGAATTTCTATCTGTCAAGTTCCAAAAAGATGGAACTGCTTCAAGCTTAAAAATGAATTTGGGAAGAAATGGCATGTTAACTATATTTGATCTTTCCATCTGATAATATGGATTAAGTTTTCTTTTGTGTCTCTGTGAAGAAGGTTCTACAGTTTTCTTCATATAGACTCAGCATACTTCCTGATGAAAATATTCCTGAACATCTTACATTCTTGGAATAAGACATTTATAAATTCAAAATTTTTATTCTAGATAGTTAGAGCTGGCATTTAAAGTAGTTATGTGTATTCTACTCATTTAGTTGCCTTATGAGGCTCTCATTTCCTCATGGCTCTCTTGCATTTTGCAAACATTTATGAATAGCTCTTCACTGTAATCTTCCCTCTTTATTTGCAACAGCTGTTTTCAATTTCTATTATAAGCCATTTCCTTATGTATTGGCTAGAATTTCCACAACAATGTTAACAGTTTAATGTGACTATCAACACTGTTTTTCATGGTTTTATATTTAGTAATTAGATCTTCAACTTTTCACTATTTTAGGTAGGTCTGGGCTCTTTTTCCTTCCCCATTTGCACTAGTTGCTACTTCCTTTTGAATCCTGATAAAATAAACCGGAAATTTCAGGGGTTTCCCTCCTACTCGTAAATGATTTCAGAACAAGTAATAATAAAAATTTTTTAAAAACCTAATATAATGAATGGTGACACACTGCATGCAAATGCGAATGTATGAATCCAATGGTCTTCTACTAATCCATACATCAAAAGACGTTTTTCAAGACAATGCCACCTTTCTCTCTGTATTTTTCATTTTTAAAGATATGGTTATCTTAATAAAAATACATTATTTATGTTAATATGGAATAGCATGTTACTTTTAAATGAGTAGGTATATTTTAAATTCCTGGTTTTAATTTTCAATGGGGTGATATCAATAGATAGTTCACTTACATGAAGTTATTTTAGGTCCTTAATAATTTAGGAATATAAAAGAGTAAAAAAAAGAGGTTTTGAGAAACATGCTATTGTACCAGTCTATTTTATTATTTTTGTGGCACTTACTAACTACCTGAAATTCTTGTTCAGTTATATGTTTATCATTCATCCTTCTCAAATTAGAATGGAAGCTCTAAAAGAGCTGAGACCTTGTCCATCTTACTGAGTACTATATCCCCCAAACCTAAAATGTGACCAGTATATAACATAGGTGTTCAGTATTAGTTTCATGAGAAGGTTGGGTTGGTGGTAACTCAGCAGTAAAGCATTTGCCTAGCATGAATGAGGCCCTGAATTCAATCCCTAGCAAAACAACACACACACATACACACACACACACACACACACACACACACACACCAAACTCTCTCTCTCTCTCTCTGCATATGCAATATTAGTTTGATGAACAGAATGCATTTAAGAGGTGGATAGCATATTTAGGCACAGATAAAAGAAATGGATCATTTTTAATTTATGGACACACACACACATTATTAGCCTTCCAATGACTAGCAGTTTCAGAATAAGGGTGAAGAACAGCCAGTGAGGCAATTTTTGGCAGACAGGTATCATGTCTACTCCATGGGATCTGCTATCCCTCACACTGCCTCTTCAGACCAGTTGGCCATCCCAGTCATGGGTACCACACCTTCTTGCTAGCTGTAGCTACTGCCACCTCTTGCAAACCCTGTAGACTGTCCAACAGTGAAAGAGAGGCCAAGTTAAGTATTTTTATCCTTGAGTTAGCAGGTATTACTCTGATTCTGGCAAATGTCTTCTCTAATTTCCTGGAAATATATGCCTCTAGTTTCTGGAGATAGACTGTCCATATTTTTATAGGCTATTTATTATTTTAATAAGCTGGGAAAAGTACTTCAGTTCTGTGTTTATAACAATACCACTTGCCCAGGAAAGTTCTCTTAGAATCTATATGCTTTAAAAAAAAAAAAACCCACAAACTATTTCGGTTACCCTGGTTTCCCAGTCCAAAAAAGCATTAAAAATATTAAATAGAATGAGAAAATGCAAGGAAACTGGATAGGCTAAAATCAGGTAGCTGCATTTACTAAAAGAGTGTAATAAAATAACACAGTAAAATACTGACAGAGCAGAAATAATAGCTCATAGACAAAGAATCTGGGACCACTAGAATAGATAATCATTCATAAACTCCTCAAACTCCCTGCAGTATAATAATATTTATACTACACTGCAGTATAATAATATTTAAGAGGAAGAACCTCAAATCAAATAATCATTACAACATTCTAAGAACAAAGGCAAACTAGAGTCTTAAAAGATAGTAGTTAAGAAGCCTAATATTTCTTCTAAGACAGAAAATAATCTCTCAAATAAAAATGAGTTGAAAGACTTCATCTATAAATATCCACGCATTCAGCCCATGGAAGTCAGGTACCCTAGAGGGCACAGAGGGGCCAGAAATGACACATTGCCCAATGAGCTCACAGTCCAGTAAGGGAGACAAAAATACAACAAAACAATCAGGTTGAAAATTGTGATGGCTCTGACATTTCCAAGACAGGTGCTCAAATGACAGAGATTTGTTTTACTGGGCAGGGATGGGACTGGAGAGGGAGTATTCTGGGAAGCCATGTAGGAAAAGGAAATGTATGTGGCAGTTTTGAAAGATGAATGAGGCTTTGAGGGAAATGGGGTGACGAGGAACAGAATTCCATGGAGAAGCAAAAGCATTTTGCTATTTGACTTGGTGCAAGATGCTGTAGCAACTGCTAAGGTGCATGAGAAAGACTGTGAGATCTTCATCAAGGAATAGAACTCAGGTTCTACTCATAAGCCCTTTTGGAAGGAGACCACACAATATTTAGTGAAAAATGGTGTTTTAGGGAATAGTGTGATGAAAGTCAGGATTTGAACTCTAGTGAATGGGAAGGTGGAGAGAGTTGATATGGGTAGAAAGACAGGAAGTGAGCAATGGTATCCTTTCAAGAAGATTGCCAGTGGAGGGCTAGGGATTTGGCTCAATTATTAGAGCACCTGCCTAGCATGCCCAAGACCTTGGGTTCAATCCCCAGCACTGTACAAACAAAAAAGAAAAAAAAAAGTGCCCATGGAAACACTGCTTTCAAGAATCAGATAAAACACTTTGACAATGAAATAAACAATTTAAGTAAACTTGCAAACTGTAACTGAAAAATGGACAAAAAAGTTAGAAATATGTTTATGAGAGAGAAGCACAGGAGAAAACGTGTTTTGGCAATAGCAGTAGTAAATACTGCTAGGATTGTATTTTAAGAACCCAAATAAATCCAAATGAGAATTGTCCTTAAAAAATTACCTCATAATTTACCTTATGTTTGCTCCTAATTATAAAAGTTAAAATGTAAGTAAAGCCAAATGCATACCTTTTCTGCTTTTTTGTCAGAAATGTCCTGCTTTTCCAGAACAGCCATGCTTTCCTTCAGGTTCTTCACTATGTCTGCTGGAGATTTGTGAGACTTGCCAAATGGGAACGGCATGACGGCAATGACAGAGGCCTTCACTGCACTCTGCCTGTTTCACCTGAAACACAGTATAGACTCAGGTGAGAAGAAAGTGGGGTCAACAGAAGACACACTAAATTCTAACCTGGGAAGAAAACCAGTACTTGAGACAGCCATTTTATAGGACTCTCAAAACCAGTAGTTAACTGGGAAACCCGCTAATGTAAAAGATGATATAGCACACAAGAACAAATACTTTATACTTTTTAAAGCACTATATTATTTCGTTTCAAAGCCTCTGCTCATTCGAGGAACAACACACAGATGCTGCTAATGCAGCAGCAGCAGTTACACTCACAGGGCAAGTACTGGTGTTAGGTCTGATGCTAATCATTTAATTCATCATCTCATAGAATGTTTTCAAACAATTCCCTGAGAGACATTATTGCTCCCACTTACAGGCGAAGTATAGCAAGGTTCAGAATCGGCTCAGTTTAGTAAGTGGTAAAATAAGCTCAGGTCTGTCTTAATCTTGTGTCCTTAATCATCATACACTACCTCCAATTAATAGGTGCAAAAAGCCAGGGAAGGGGCTCAGCTAAAAACATCAGGCTTCCTATCTAGGTCCTTCCAGATGCTCCTCCTGTTCTGGTGCCGATGCGTGTGGGGGAGGGGCCTGCACCAAACATGCACAAGTTTCCTTGGTGTCCATCTTCCCATTCAGTCAATGTCTCAGAGACAGATAGAACCTTGATGGCACCTTAGACCAGTCTCCCAGCAGATCCTGAAGGCTATGATGTTACAGATACAATATATCCTCCTTTAGCCTGGATTTTACCATCTCCTTTGAAAGAACTCACTGGATAAAACCCTGGGAGTGTGGCGGGGAGATAATGAACTTCTCAAATTTCTTAGTTTTTTTGTGGTAGCAGAAAATGCCATTTCAACCACACAAAGCACAATATTAATTATCCAAAGGAAGGACACGAGCAAACAAAGTTAACAGGACAAATGATGGAAATAACTTGAGAATGTGCTGGAAAATACAATCTGTTTTAATAAACAGACTAAAATAAGTTCAGCTCATAACCACTAAACAACTTCCTAGCAAGCACGAAAAGGTAACAGTTTTCAGAAGAAAGTGCTTTTCAAACTGAATTCCAACTTCGTATTTAACTGTATCAGATGTCTCCTCACTTCCCACCCCTACACCAAAGTAGGAAGAGATCAGTCTCAGATATTCCAACCCTACTGTTTTTCACCCATGCAAGCAGAAATATCTCTACTGCATAGAAGCATCGTAACACTTCTTCTGAATTTGGCCTGAGATTTCATATGAAGACAGAACTTGTTATGTTTTTCCCTAAAGTCTGAGATACAGTGAAATACGTATCTGTTTATGAATGATAAATACTTAGGGGAAAAGAACATACAAAATAATGTTGTTACCCCTACAATTAAATCACAAACAAGGATGTTATTTCTCAACATGTTTTGATATGATGTTATGACCACTCTTTGTCCCTAAGTATCACCCATCTCAGCTCTGTCAGCTTATAAGTCCTTTTTCAATCAAATTAAAACCATATCCTCACTAACCAAAGAGAAATAGCTTAACATGTTCTCCATGATAGTTTCTAAATATTCAAAAATGCTTAAATCCAGTTGTAGATATGTTTTCTATGACAAGAAGTTTAGATGTTTGAACAGAGTCACTCCCAACTGGCTGTTACATTATCTCTTATAATCTGGCTTGATGGCACCTAAGTCCTGAATCACTCTTTTCCACTACCTTTTTAAAAAATCATTTTTTTGGGGGGGCAAGCAGGTCACTTCCACATAAACATCATGGGTCACACTTACACAGTAAGTTCTCTGAAAATATTATCTTTCCCATCTGCAACTCAGCAAATAGCAGTGATGCTACATATGTCAGTGGTAGGAGGAGGGTTGCAATGTTTAATGGTATTTTGCAGGAAGTGTTACGGTGCTATGCAACACAGATATTTTCAGCTCTGGCTCAATGGTGGAAGAGGTGACTTTCCAGGGTAAAGGAGGTTTAAAATGTCCTACCACACACCAAATGTTGGTCACAGCAGAAAGCACAACTGCCCAAAAGAACACGTACACAAAATACTTCTATGAGAGAAAGAGAAGGTGTGACACAATTATTCCTTTTAATTAATACACCATACCTGCTATGATTCTACAGGACATATAAACTAATAAAATGTTCTCTAAAGAAATATAGTACATGTACCCAGAATAAGAAGTGGTTGTTCCTCAACAGGATCCGATCATGAGTGAAATTACCCTTGACAGACTCATATTCTCCACCCCACACTTTATACATTCTATTATGATCTAGTTTTTAAAAATACAGTTAAAGAGGAAATGAGAGTATAGAGCTCTTATTTCTGGAGTATAGTAATTCTCCACAAATTATTTTGTTTCATTTTATGTCCGCGGACTCACCTTCTCACACAATACAACTATCAAAAATGTGTCTGTACATGGGGAGGGGGTGTAACAAAACCAAGGAAACAACCCCTAAAACTTCTGCAATACAGAATTTGTTTATTATGTCTAGGTTTGTTATTTACTAAACTTAAATATGATACTATTCCATGTCATAAGTGATGTGATTTTAAAAATAATCAGAAATCCAGAAATTATTAAGATTTAAGAATGCCTGGACATGATGGGCAAGTAGCCAGACATGTACCTAGAACACTGAAGAGGTAAAAAAGCAATGTTTTAAGAAATAAAGTTCTTAAACATGTTGGATTAGCATGCATACAACCACTAAGTACTGATTTTGTGTTGCTGAATGTGCAGTGAGTACAATAAAGAAAACTAAAGCAGCTACTGAGGTAGAAACGGTTGTCTCAATGTCCTGTCTCACAAGTATTGTGATGAAATCATGGACGTGTCATACAAGCATGGTCATTAAAGATGGCATTAGATAACAAAACAACCAGTCAAAAGAACTGAAACATGCTACTTCAAGGGAGAGGGAAAAGGATAAGGTCTGGCATTTTTTCCCTTAGGAGCCTTTTTCTTTTCTTCTTTTTTTTCATAACTATCTGACACCTTCAAGTATATATACATGTAACTTTAATTAACATAAAGCCTAAATTTAAAGCAAACAATGGATGAAATACAGTAATTCATCCTTAACACTAAAAAATACTATCTATAAAACATCTGAATAGAAGGCAGAATGACAGAAGAAAGCAAGCTACAGACTTCTAATCTTCAAAGAAAAAAACCAACAGAAGTAGAAGTGGGTTTCAAACTTTGACATGTTCTACATTGTGAAATTTATTTAATGTATTACACAAACACACACACAAAACTCTAGAACTAAAACTAATCTAAACTGATGTTTTCTATTTTATTCAATTTCATTCTTTAAAATACACAGTGACTAACCAGATTTCATGAATCACTAACTGGTTTTAGTGATAATAAAGAGGAACAGGAAGATCTGGAACAAAATAGGCTTAAAACGAGCTTATCTTTTAAGTTTCAATTCTCATTTCAATCTCCTTACTCTATACTCACAAGAAGAAAAAGTTAATTCCTTCATAGAACACAGGACCTTCAGACAATGTTTACATGACAGAGTGGACTCTTCAGCTGGTACTACTTTCTCCTTAGAGAGGAGACTATGCCTTCCTAAAAGCCTGGTCCACCTTGGAAGCAGTACCCTTGAAGGATGGGAAACCCACAGGCACAAGTCTAAATTTTAGAACTGACAATCCAAAGAGTATGGTGATGCCCAAGCTGGAAGTAACAGTAGTTAAATAAGAAAGAGTTAAGAGTTTACTGTAACAATCTACATCTTTTTTGTTTACCTTTATCACAAGTGGTATAGGGACTGTAGGATTCCAAGAAGCCATTTATTCAGGCACTTTTTCAGTAACTTCATTGCCAGTAGAATAAAATCCAAATTCCTGGCTTTGGTCCTAGCCTTTACCCATCTCCAATTCACAGCATAGCCCTCTGGTCCCTATTACAGAATTCCAGCCACACTGATGTCCTCTCTGCTCCCTGATATCCAGCTACTTCCACAGTATTGGTAAAACTGCAATTCTAAAATTTAAGATGATGAGCATATGGGTTTCTCATTATTAGTGTATGTTCAAAATTTTTAATATTGTTTAAATAGCTTAAAGTATGTTTTGGACATAACTGGAGTTCATCAATGAAATAGGCAGAATTACATATCACAATTAAAAAAACTCATTTAGCTTTCAAATACTAACTTCCTATCTTTTCCAAAAAGTTGGTTCCTACAAACCTCAGCAGGATGCCTCTGGGCTGAGCAAAATTATTAATGCAGTTGGGACAAAGCCAGTTATTGTTAGGATCCTCAAGGGAGATATGGAAACCCACACCCACATCTCCCACCCCCCAGTTTAGGGGAGTGGAGGAGGTGGGGAAGAGGGTATACTTGCTCTTGATGGCAAATCAGTAGTGTATGCTCATAATCCTAAAGATAAAGAAAACTTAGGGAGAAATTTAACTTGAAAATGGGAAGGGGTAATTTAACATATTACTGAATTTGTGAAAGGAATCCAGTAGCTATCTGCTTTGCCCAAATATTTATTCACTGCTTTCCACTAGTTGCTTGCTTCTCACCAAACTTTCTATCTGCATTTACTTATCTTTCTGTACTTAATTCAATGACTCATCTTAACTCCAAAGCTGATGTCCTTCAAGATTCCATTACTGGCTGTCTCCTTACCCTACATTCACTCTAGGTGGTCTCAACTATGGTTTTGGTAATCTGAAATTCATTTCTTGCTCCAACCCATTAGTCTGCATTTCCAAATACCACTCCCTATATGTCATCCTGGCATCACAAATCTCATCTACATCCTGCTTCTTTTTCTGTGTTCCCTTTCAGAGTGAATGGATCCACTGTTTACCCTATCACACCGTTTAGCTATGACAGCTGACTCCATCCACTTGCTTAACTCTTCCATATATAATCAGTTCACAATTTCAATCAATTCTGTCTTGTAAATCAATCTTTACAGACCCCCACTATTCTCCACATAAGTCAGGTAC